CTCAGCTAAAGACAAACAGGAGAATTGTGTAGCTACCCGCAGATTCATGAGCCACGTTATCCCCGCCGCCGTCCATTCCGTCTCATTTAGAGAGAACCGCTCCGCGTCCACAGCTGCTTCCAGACACTTCTTCGTCCTCGTCTCGTAAGGTCTTCTTAGTTTGCAGCCCGTTGGTATTTTTTATTCCTTAAAGAGCGACCGTCCAGCGTTAAAACCAGTCCCTCCGGTTTATTAGGGGGGTGGGGAGGACCCACAGCATGTTTACCCTCAGCGTCCGGACTGCAAATGAAGCGCGCATGCGCCGGGATTGACGGCCGAAATGATCATGCGGTGCCGCTCCGCCCCTGCAGCACATCACGTCACGTGGCAGATTATGCAAATTAGGCGATGACGTCATTTGGCGACTTCTAGCGACTTTTAGCAGAGCCAATAGCTACTTTCCTTACTGAGGAGTTGGCAACACTGCACTGAAGTAGTTTAGGTAGTTGTAGTCTGTGATGGTATGTTAGTCAAGTACACAAACACAGAGATTATAAATTCAATCAGACTATAATTCGGCAAAGCACGGGAAAAGTAGTGCTGACACCTTCAAATATCACACTTCAATCAGCCCTATCAATAAATGATGTTTGAACTTTCATTTTAAACGTTCTTTTTTATAATGAGTTGGATCTTGTACATAAAAACAAAGTAGTGTCTTTAAAGTGGGAGGAGTGAATGTGAGTGTGTGGTGTTGTTTATCTCTGTGTGGCCCTCTGATGGACTGGCAACCTGTCTGACCCTGTCTCCAGAGCCTTCAAGAAATGAGCAGTACAGACAATGGATGGCTGGATCTCAAGAGGATGAATGATGTCATATTCTGTGTGCTTATGTGTTTATTCAACACAATGACCTTTCTCTGGGAGTAAAGATGTCCATGTGTGCTGAACGGTGCTCAAGGAAAGTTTAGTTGGCATACTCCATAGGCTAATTATTGATTAAATGTTTTTAACATAACACAGCATGTAAATTATCTGCACTAAAGACACCCGCTGCTATTCCTTTGTGTATGAATGTAATTGTCCACTGCAGCTGACTGACATTTAACGAGAATAAAAAGCAAGTGAATCAAACACAGTCTTTCATGCATCTGTTTTTTGTCATTTATTAAATGCAGAGGAAAAACATCTGTTTTTGCTGGTTTACTCATTGCTGGACTAAAACTAGAGAAAGGAGGAAATAACATAAATGTAGGAAAGCTAGCGAAACTGTGGGGCACACTTGCTGGTAGAGCCTATGCAGCCATGACATGTCCACATTTTCTCCTGCTCTTACTCACAGGTCTTTCAGGTAAGTCTACAACGTTATGCGTAAAACAATATTAATTTACTATCTAAGAGATTTTTCTGCAACACAAAACATTTGTATAGTTTTTTAATACATTTCATAGTTATGCATTGAGTTTAAAAATCTGTTATGTATCAGTAATTATTGTGACAGCGATTTGCACAATGAATTTAAAGTTAACTCTTAGTTTGTTGCTGCTCTTTCAGGATTTCAATGTCAAATTAATACGGTGAGAAAAGCATCAGTGGAGGCTGGGGGTTCTATCTCCATCCCATGTCTCTATCAACAGAATTACACCGAACATGTGAAATATTTATGTCAAGGAGTGTTTTGGCTTTCTTGCAACATAGTCATTGAAACACAGCAAAGAACAGCAAATTCAGGAAGATTTTTCATCTCAGATGACACAGTTCAAAGAATCTTTACAGTGACTATCAATAATCTGACAGCTGAAGACAAACATTTTTGGTGTGCTGTAAGAATTGAAAATAAGAGGGATGCCAGACAATATTTCCAGCTGTCTGTCACCCCAGGTACTGTGAAAATGGATTACATCTAACAAAAAACCTTTGAGAAATGATTGCTTTTTGTGATATATCTCATTTGAACTGATCTTTTTAATGCTTTTTTCAGGTACTCAAAGCTTTTATGTTAATAGACAAGAGGTATCTGGATATGAAAGAGGAAGCGTGACAGTTGCATGCTACTATAAATACCCAAAAGTAACCCAGTGGTGCAGACTGGGCAGTGCGTGTCTAAAAGATGAAACTGGATCAATAGATGGAACGCCTGTGATTATAAACACAAGTATCCATGGTATTTTCAATGTGACTTTGATTGACCTGAGTACAGAGAGCAGTGGCTGGTATTGGTGTGAGAATGGAAAATTCCAAATGCCGGTCCATATAACTGTTCACAAGTTAGCCTCAGAAACTTCTATGTCAACAAACACAACTACAGCTGACAACAATCAAGATGAACACAAGAGGTCAGTGCTTTACTTTATTCCTTTTAACATTGGTAGTGAATTGCAATTAAGTCTTATTAATTTGAAATGATCAGCAACCCGTGAATAAAACAATATTACCTTAATTGATACACTTTTTATATTGAGAAGTTCAGAATACTATCTTAAACCACATTTTATACAATTGAGTTATCAAAAGACACTAATTTGAGTGTCCTTTGTCAAGTCTCATGTAATCAAACTGATGTCTTATCCCACAGTCCTACAAAGGTTACCATTGTTGTTACCGCCCTGCTCTCACAGCTGCTGATCGTCCCGTTTGCGTTTGTTCTATGGAGGATAATAAAACGCAGTAAGTCATATAGGAACTACGGGGACAAAATGAAGGAATAAAAGTTTTTAAAAAAAATTTTTTTTATTGCCTTTAAGGACTTTTCTTTTTCTTTGTAGAAAAGACTGAACCTGAGGCTTGTGAAGTCACCGTGGTAATACATGCCTTAAATTTCTCACGACAGATGAACAAACAGAACCCAAGCGATTTGACCAGCCATTGTAGTTAAAGCTGGGTTTGGAAAGATACAATTTCAGTCCTGACAGAAATATCCACAGTTATTTAGTATTCAGGCCTGCAACAGTACAGAAAAAAACATGCAAATGAAACATACTTTGAACCTAATGCTGGCATTTTAAATCAATTTGTTGTAGGGCTCACAAACGTTTGATGCTGATCTACTTTACGCGGCCATTGATGATAATTCATTTGTAAGAGCCCAACCAATGAACATTTTACCCATTGTTAGTTTTTCTGTGGCTCATATGACTGCAAATGTCACCAACAGGACCGTACATTCACAAACAATGTGACGTACAGCTCAGTTATGAAAAAAGAACAACGTCCCACACCAGGTGCAGTATCTTATTTATATTCACATAGTCCTGCAGAAAATAGATTGTTTATTATTAATTTATAATTGTTTACTATTTCATATCTATACTTGTTCTCACTTTTTAGAAAGCAAGGAATGACTGTAATTTACAGCACTCTGCAATATAATGAGTCTGAATGAGGTGAGTGGGATGAAAAAGTCTAATACCATTGATAGAGACATAACTGGTATACAAAGAGACAACAAATGCTATTTGATGCTTGTGGGTTGAGATTAAATTGTCTTCAGGAATGAGTATGAATATACATGGTTGTTGTACCTTTCCTTTTGTATAAGGACTGTTGTGATAGGCTCAAATCTATTGATTTTATTTCAAAAGACCAAATAGATAAGACGGATGGCACAAGTCTTAATCTTAAGTGAAAAGTAAGTCAATGGCCAAGTTGTTTCACTTTATCTGAACCTGAAGCCACTGCAGTGCACTTGCTAAAGACTAAACTAAAGTAAGGCCCATGAATGTTCAACACCTGAAGGCATTCGGACCAAAGTGCTGTGCTGTTTAATTCAGTTTTCCACTGTGGAATCACTGATTTGGTCCAATGGTCTTGCTGATCTTGTTCTAACCCAACAGATTACTCTCTTTTCACCTTTCTAAATCTCACTTCTGCTGTCATTTCCACTTCAGGCCATGCATTCCCAACTCCACCTGTTACGCAACTCAACCTTCATCAGTTTGCTAAAAAGGAACCCCACCCGTCCAGATACATCCATCCATTTTTGAACTTCTTATTCCCACATGGGGTCGCTGGGGGACTGGAACCTATTCCAGGAGTCAATGGGCGAGAAGCAGGGTACACAGACGGTCCACCACCACACATATAGACACACAAAGACGAAAAAACACGCACACTCACACTCACTCCTAAGGGCAATTCGGAATGTTAAATCAACCAAACATGCAGGTTTTCGGATGGTGTGAAGAAGCCGAAGAATCTGGAGAGAACCCAGGCAGACACTGGGAGAATATACAAACTCCACCCACACAGTTCCTGGTTCCCCCAGGGTCTTGAATCCAGAACCCTCTTGCTGTGAAGCGACAGTGCTAACCACCACACCAACAACATCTTAGTTTTCACTTTAATGCAGTATTGAAGTCTGCCAAGCTTTAATCCTCCTATTTGCCCACCTACCTTTCTTGTAATCATGGTACACTAACTGATTTGTGGCAACCTTTCAGCTGGTCACTTTCTGTTGAATAAGATCTCTGGTGAGGGTGGCTTTATATCAAAGACCTTTTCTGAGGATAATATCTGGAATCTATGTGTTGTTATTTTTTCACAAATGGTTCAGTATATTGGTAGCATAAAATAATTGTAAAAATAGAAATTTTCCCCAATGCCATATAGTATAGTGATTCAAAATGTGATGTTTCTAACAGAAGAGGAGGATATTATGGATATTATGGATATAGATCAGCGCTGGGAGCAGAAGGATAAGGTTTAGGTGACTGCGTGAATTGACATGATAAGTGTCACATAACTGTTTATTTTGCAGTTAACATCAGTACACATGAATATCCTTATCCTTTTAGGGCAATTGAATTCACAGTATAATCAGACTTACATCTTCCCAGCCTGATTCTTTATGTTTAATCATTGACAAGAAAACTAAAATTAATTTCCGATTCAAATAATCAGAAAGACGCTTTTGGTATGTGTGTATCAAATGTCTTAAATTCACATAAATAAACTTTAAATTGTAAATTGGTGTTTTTTTTTTTTAAGTATCTAAGTTCGGTAAACTTTTTTACATATTTTCAAATCATGTTGTGTGAATTAGTGAAATTCTGCACTGAAAGAACAACATGGTGGACAAAAGTGCAGAATGAGAGAATTTTCAGTGCATAAAGGAGCTGACACAAACCATTTTTTTTATCATCAGACTTCCTTCATTTGGCAGTTTTACCACTCAACAGATATATGTGTGATTTCCTGTGTTGCCTGAGTGTTTATTTTTAGTTAATTTATACTGGTTATGTGACTGAAATTCACTTTCATTGGCCATCTCACATGAATTCACTATTTTTAGAGGAAGAATGTTTGCTTGTAACACATTAAGGAAGTACAAAGTCATTGCTTAGTTTTTCCTGTGCCTATTCACTCATGGCTCTTCTCAGCATTCTTCTTATTCTTACTGGGACAACAGGTCAGTAGCAACATGTTATTTTGAAGTGGTTAGGATTAAATACTGACTGATATTTAATTTCTGATGTTCAGTAATTTAAAGTGAAAGATTGTATTTAGAAAACAAGCGGTTAGTGCTGGTATTGAGTGTCCCCAATATACTGTGCTTTGTTTTTTCTCAGGTATCCACAGCATAACTACTGTTAGTAAAGTATCAGTGAAGGTTGGATCTTCCATCTCTATCCCCTGTCTTTACGACGCTCAATACGTTAACCATGTGAAATATTTGTGTGAAGGATATGGTTGGTCCGGCTGCTCAACAGCAGTTAAAACAAATCAAGCACTGGCTCCTAAAAAGTTTTCAATCATTGATGACAAAAAAGAAAGAATATTCACTGTGACTATAAGAAACCTGACCAGCGAAAACACTTACTTTTGGTGTATTGTTGAGATTAACAGAGGGGGTGATGTGGGTCAGTTCTTTGAGCTATCAGTCACCAGCGGTAAGTGCTCCGTTTCAACCAGATTTGAAATATTTGATTCATTTTTAGCATAGCAAAATTCCAACTTTTTCAGCATAGATTGATTGCATCTTACTTCTTTATTAATACTCACAAATGTCCAGAAAAAAATGCCCAGCTTTCAGCATTCAACTGATTTTGTGTTGACTGATATTTGTCTCCTGTTAAGGTACACCCAGTCTCACTGTGGCTCGGCAGGAAATCACAGGATATGAAAGAGAAAATATAACTATCAACTGTCAAACCACTCGCTCTGGAAAGATGAAATGGTGCAGGGTGGGAGGCAAATGTGTGACAGAGCCATCTGGTTTTATAGATGAAACAAAGGTGACCATCAGGAGTGACTCTTTTGGATCTGTTGTGACGATGAGTGGACTGAGACTGGAGAGCAGTGGATGGTATTGGTGTGTCAAAGATGTCTATCAGATACCAGTGCACCTAACGGTTATGGAGAAACCCACTAGTATGTAAATACAGACTCTATGTGTGTTACTTCAGACTCTTTCTATCCTTCCAAATACCACCCTTATTCATCACCATGGTTTTGAATTGTAGCCACATCTGATACTGTTACTGAAGACAGAAGAATTACCATAGATGAACCAAAAAGGTCAGAAATCTTCTACTAATGTCCCACATATTGAACTTTGTCACATTGTTCTAATATAAAATTGTTCAGTCTAAGGTAATGTTACTATTGATGTGTTAAAGGCATACTCTTTCTTAGCAAGCTTATTTCACTTTGTTTGCTGACACTGTACGTTGCAGCGTTTCTTTCGACCTAAAGAACCTCATCATCCCTTTGAGTTTGTTGATCTTGGCTGTAATTGTGGCCCTGTCCGTCTGGTTTATACTAAGATGCAGTAAGTCTGATTGAACTTCTGTGGGCAATTTAAATGTAATTTTTATTTCTTTAAGTTGAAATTTTACTAACAGCGCTAACTGTAAGTCAATTTTACTTTAACAGAAAACGCTAAAGCAGAATCAGTGGACACAAATAAGGTGAGTAATACAGAGGAAGAACCAATATACTCTGGTGTTAACAAGAAGGCAAGCATGTCGGCTCAGGCTATTATACACATTTTTCTCATTTGTGCTTGGTCTTCTGCATGTAACTAGTTGCTTCATGAAGTGCAGAAGAAACCAGATATATTTACATAATTTCCTATTTCTCAACAGCAGAGCACACATGAAGACACAGATGTGACATACAGCTCTGTGACCATTTCAACAAAAAAAAGAGAAAAAATGGTAATGTCAGGACACAGCATCAAAATATTTTTCCCTATTATTACGGCAGTTCAATTTTTATCAATGGTTATTTTTTCACTTGGGCAATGCACATTTAACGTAGTATCTGACTGTTGCTCAAAGCAAATTTTTTGCAACATCTAATGTTGAATATTGAATCCAGATCAGAAATAATCTTTGTCATGTTTCCAAAGTGTCAGACAGTCAAACAGATGAATACTTTTTTACTAGATTTTAGGAAGTTTCTAACTGTCTTATTTTCTTTTCCTCTGGTAGAGCAACGCAACAGCAGACGACGTTACATACAGCAACTTGACTTTCCAACACCAGTGAAACATTTAAACTTTACATATATTCATCATGCCTGTTTCTGTTACATGACTTACTTTAAGGGAAGTGTTCTATTGTCTTGTCAACTGGAATAAATAGCTAAAACTACATTGTTCAAAGTATGTTCGTGAAGGGAATTCAGCTGACGACTGAAGTGGATTGCATTCTGTGTTTAAGTAATCCAATAAAGATGTAAAGTCTTATAAAACTGTATGTAAAAAATACCTTTACCTTTAAATGCTGTAAATATTTTTGTCTGCTAACCTTTAACAAGCGATGTGCATGATCTTTCCATTTACTCTTTTCTAACTTCACGGAAGGTCATAAGTTTAGGATGTACATCAAAAAAGGAGAACAAAGCATAGCTGTGCTTGCAGCTGTGCTTGCTGGGCTCCACTGAGGATGTGAGATATGACACTTCTTTCTGCAAAAATGTCCAAAGACAAGATATGCCTTTGGTATTATGCCTTGTTTGTTCAGTCTAATAAAAAGCCAAAAGGGGAAGGCAAAAGTTGTGTTTCGGATGCAGTGCTGGCGACAGGCTGCAGAGCTCTTCCCTCTTTGCAAAAGGCTTGTACTTCAGAGTCTGTGTCGTTCATTCGGGTTTCCCACTTTTGAAGAATTAGTGTTTGAACCTAACAAAAGATATCTCAGAATGTAATATTTCATTAAGTTACTGAGCTGCAGAATTTAGGGAAGTAAAATACATGTGCCCATCATATTGCATTGAATCATTGCATCAATACCTTGTGCATTAAAGCCTCTACCAAACTGTATTAAAATAATTATAGACTTCAAGCTGGTTAACTTTAGAAGTCACTATTCAACATTGCTTTAACATTACTGTTAAATGTTTGTGAAAAGTGGGTAAACTCAGCTGTCATTGGGAGAGAGGAACGGTATACGTCCTGCACTAGTCCGCGGTCCAACACAAGGCAACATAACTCTGTAGGCCAATTTAGAATCATCAATTAACCTACCATGCATCTTTTTGAATGGGTGGAGGAAGCCTGAGTAACCGGACAGAACCGCACAAGTGGGGGAAGAACATGCCACCGATTTGAGTAAGGAACCTCTTGCTGTGAGGCAACAGGCCTAACATCTCCATCCCTATTCAGTCCTTTCACTCAAACCGGAGAAGTGAAAAGAGGAAGTGGTAAAAATAGGCGTTAATGAAAAAACGGTCAGGGCTTCTGAATTTCCAATTAAGTAACACCACTGGTAATATCTACATCTGTGTGATGTTCTCAATATCAGTTTATTATATATTGCAACATTGTTGTTCCTCTTTCAGGGAAGAAAGAATGAGGAACTGCGATCAAATGATGTGTTTTATCGTCCCGGAAAAAAATAAATAAAATACATAAATATATATATATATAAATGTATATATGAAAATGATTTTATCAGCAATAAATTAAAATGGTTTAATTTGAGGAAACCTGAAATGAATAAGACGTACAGTTTATCACCGAGCCGTCAGAATGCATTTAAGGTTGTCTGTGGAAAAATCTGACATTTGTATGTTTTTAGAATTTCTACTAAACAAAGCATATTCCACCATCTAGTGGCTGCAGGATGACCCATCTGGATGACCCAGGCTGGTCTTTTAAAAGGAACATGACCACAAAAGACCAATATTCTTACAATCATCAGCCCCATATTTTTCCCTGCTTGTACATTTTTATTTTCCTCCAACAACTCAGATGAAGTAGAATGTATAAAATACAGAAATATCACATATGACAGGACTGTAATTAGTGGATTAATTTACCTATGCTGTGGAATATTACCATTTCCCCTGGAGCTTGTGTCTTTATTGTTTACAGTGACAGTCTGTCATTGAGCATTAAAGCCTGATTAATATAGCCGATGGATCCTAAATTCTCTTTTGGGGCATTGTTGCTACAAAAATGGCATGCCCCATAATCCCACATTTTTGGGCGACTCCCAACTGTGACTTGAAGATGCGGGCAAGCCACAGGCAACCCCTCATCCAATTAGAGAGATATGGCTCTCTTCATAAGAGACAACATAACCAAAGCCAAATTGGCCCTTGTTTTTTTCAAACTACACACACAGACAGACAAAATATATTCTTAAGCACATTCACACAACTCCTTTATATAATAACCAACATCAATTTTATGGTTTCATTTGTTATATTGTCATGCATTTTCAAAGCTAATAGAAACCATGTCCCCTTTGGAACTTCATGTGATAAAGTGCCTGTAGTGTTTTAACGGGGTGGTCATCACACTTATAACCAGTTTTTCCAGCATTTTGAATCAAGAGGCTTAGATTGACATGATATCCATGTGCAAAGAATAATAAATGTCAGAACTGCAGTTAAACAAAAACATGACGTTGGAATAGGAGTCAATGAGACCAAATCGGTGCCGATGGAGAAGAGCCTTATAAAAATGTAGCCTCGTCCTCCATAGACCTTTCAATCAAAAGAATAACGAAATAAATGTACAAAATTAACTATTAAAAAATAGGCAATAGGCCGAGTTCAATAGAATTACCAGTAGCCTTTAAGCATAATTATTTATTGAGAATAGAAAAATAATAATAATAATAAGCAAATGAGCACATGTGATCGAGTAGTAAAAAGACAAAAGCTATTTAAGTGTAAGTGTTGTATGATAGCTATACAGTGTCTTTCTTTTCCATTTCTCTCAACTTGTAGAATCTGATCATGTGCTCCAGTCGTAAGGAGCCTCGATAAATCCATTCCTTGTTTTGATTTTCCTGTGTGACAACCAAAGACAAGAAAAAAGTAAGAATAATGGAGCACAAGTCACATGTTTATAACAATCTTTTAAATTTAGATCCAGGATTCCCTTTTTGTCTTTTTTGAGCCATCTCCACCTGGTGATGGCTCAATGCAATTACAAGGTTCTCAGATCCTGCGAGTGCTGAGCAAGCTGAGATCGTCCTGTTCCTGCACTGTACTTGAAAGTTGGCATGAGATGCTTATATATCCTTTATAATCAAGCATGTCCAGTAGTATCATCCATTGTTAAAACGCAATTTTGTTCACGTTAATTAATGATGATGTTTTTCTTAGTGACAAGAACCTGTCTACTGGAAACACTCTGAAACAGGACGTTCGGTCATAAACTTTGAGATTTAACTTGCTGACAGGAACCTTTACACATATAGATGTTGCGCATGGGATTTTTCTGTGAATTGTTTCTGAGCATTAGATGACCTGACTTAAGGTGGAACTTGCTTGAATGTCAGCTCCTTTAATAAAATGTCCACTGCATTGTCTATTCTCCATTTGTGAGATATGCACTGAAGAGTGAGGTTTTCTAAATTACCTCTAAATATGTTCACAGCCCTTTTCGGGTTAATGAATGGCAGTTGGAATATTTGCTGGCTGTCAGGGTTTAGTTTTTGTTAATAACTCATTGGTTTCATGTAGCATTTGTTGTCCCTCTGAGGGTTTATTGACATAATTTCAGACCTGGGAAGGACCATAGGGTTTTATTTATCATGATTCATAAAAAACACATAAAGATACTGACCGGAAAAACCACCTGTATCAAACTGCAATCAACCAACTGAACCTCACACTTCTGCTGTGTGCCATCTACTTCCACATAGATGGACTGTCCGACCATGTAATGGGTTAAATGCGGGTATGGCCAGTTCTTCATATATAGTTGCATGAAATCCTTGTGCGGGCTTTCTGGGACATCTTCTAAAGTATCATCCACTGCAGAAAACAAACAAAAAGTCTGTCACTCTCTGCTCCCGTTAATGTTGACACAATTTCTTCATACAGATAAAAATAAAATGCCTTCTGTTAGTTTTTCCAACAAAGCTCTGTGCTCGACGAGCATTTGTGGCAAAAGTTGTGTGACTGCAAAATGCACCGTGTAATCAAGGACAAAATGACCAACTCGCTGTTCCACAATGCTACTGTTCAAAGACACGGCAAAGGAATTATTGGTTATAAGAAGACTGCATGATGAAATTCTCTTCGACGATCGGAAGAGGAAGCTGCAGAAAAATGATTAAAACTCTGGATGGAAATGAATGTCATGACATTAAAACAGCTCACCAAAAACAATGACATGACAAATTAATATAATTATTAAAGTTAAAGATGTTTATTTATGCCATTTTTAGGCCAGGAATTTCTTTTTAAAGTTTCTTTCTAAAGTTTCTTTTTAAAGGCTTCTATAATAAAAGCAGTCAGATTTAAAACATGGTTTGATAATGAATGCTTTCAGTTTATTACTAAAATGATTCATTTATCATTTTGAAGAAAAACTGCTCCAGTCATTCTGAGCAGTACCATGAAAGTAGAAAGTATAGATAGCAGTATCAAAACATTCACACTTACATGGTCGGCACACGAGGTGAAGGGTGGGTAAACTAACATAAAGCGGCGTGTGATCATCGAGAAAGACTAAGAACCTGGAAGGTTAAAAATAAGTTTCTATCAATTTCACATTTAGAAATGAATTTTCTGTAGGGAAATGAAAGGCACTGCTTACTGCTACAGGTACCAACAGGCAACAGGGACATTAACCAACAATCAAATACAGACCTCAAGCGGTTCTTTCTGCTGGGGAGTTCGACCAAAATGCCAGGAATGAAGCAAGTGTTGTCATCTGAAGAGGGAACAACAACGCGGGCGCCCACGTACAGCTGCTCCAGCTTTGGTGAGTCAACAGAGGCCATGTGATGTCCAGATACAAGACTCCTCCCTTTTTTGTCAAAATTAACTTTGTACTTTAACCGTCCATCTTCTGAAAAGATTAAAGAAAAGGCCAAGACAAATATATTAAAAACTCCTCAATTCATAATCACCTTAATGCAGGTCAAAGGTTAACGTGAGAGAGGAAAAGCATCAGTCGTTCGATAGAGCAGCAGCTCTGAGCGGCTGCTTTAGCAGCCAGCTTCGACGCCCACAGTGCAAAAGTGAGATTCCATGGGTCCTTTTTCCCCTCTGCCTTCAGACTTCTATCATGTGCAGAAGATGAATCATTGTGTCTTTCAGTGATTTACACGAGGGTTTTGTGCAATATCGTTACTTGAATGTCAATTCACCACATAATTCCAGGCAACATCTGTCCACTCCACTCACAACTATTTCTAGTACTGGCTTATCCCTTATTGTCTTCTTACCTTTTTCTGTTATATCCACTATTTTTCCTTGTTGCCACATCATGGTTGTCCTCCTGGCCAGCACAGGCATGTCCAACTTGATTTCTACCTCTGGTAAATTAGGGCGGGCTGTTGTAGTTTCACTAGAGTTGTTTGCAAAAGCCGCTGATATTACAATGAGTCCTTTTTCTGTCACTGTGGGAGAAATAATAAATTATCTTCTCCATTATGTGAAATTGACAATTAAATTCTTATTTAGTTTTGTATTTCTATTCACAGATGTGTTTATATCACAATGTCAGTAGCCTTACGGCAGCTTTTGTCACTGCTTGTTGACTGAGGAGTCGAACGTTTCATTGGTTGAGGTGTTTGAACAGTGTTCCTCTTTTTGGGTTTTGAAGGTTTTTGTTTATCATCTGAGACGGACCAGTCAGAATCTCCACAATCATCAGCTGGTGACCACAACATGTCAGAATCCGAGCTGCCAGGGGATCCTGCTTCACCATCGAACTGCTTAGGCGTCGGTGGTTGTAGGGACCTGACTGTACATTCTGGGAGTCTAGTTAAAACTACCACAGGATTTTTATGAAGACTACAAAAGTAAGGGCTGTTTTCAAATTGTCGTATTTCTCTTGAAGTTTCATTCCCCATTGGGCAGGTCTTGTATGAAGATTCAGACATATCATCTGGGGAAAAATATAATGAAAACAACATTATTAACTGACATACACACACACACACACACACATGTATATATATATATATACTTTGTTTTTTGCAAAGTCAGAATGGGTTTTATTCTCTAAATGGTGTTTAACAATGCTGTATCTGAAGTTCCATTATAGTTTATTAATAAAACCTAAAGCTGAAACCTAAAGTTTGTTTCCTGGTTGGAATTGTAACTGCATTCAAATATCATATTATTGGTTTTGATAGCTCAACATGTTTTCTTACTACAAAATAGCATTAGGCTTTTGTCGGCTAATGATCACAACTTAACGAAATAATCCAAATTTACGCGTACCATCACTGTCACAGCTACACGTGTAATACTGAATAAAACAAGCTTACCTATTTTACGTCTTGACTTTTTTTTGCCAAAGTTCTCCATGCAAAATAATGTGATTGTACTTTTCGAAGCTCCTATTAAGGAAGGCTAAAATGTGGCAACTAGCTAGCAATGATAACGCCAATGCTGTTTCCCCGTCTTCTTCGTTTGTTATCAAATGGCAGAACGTAAACAAAGAAATGTTACATTACCGCCGCCAAATGGAATAAAGAAAACCACCGCCATTTTTTTCAAAGCATTTTTTTACCAATGTGTATTTAATTCCTTGTTCTTCTTTGCATCTGTAAACAAAAATGTTCCTTACTTAAAAAAAGGGTTTTAAAAAGAGACTAATACATATAAAAAGATTTGCCAGATTTATCAGGTGTCCTGTGATTCTTACTCTACCAGGGTCAGGATCTCAATTTCTGAATTAAACTGTGTCATTTTGATATGATTATCTATGCTATTTGCCACAAATACGTTAGTTGAGCCTTCAAAGCACTTTGCCTGTCTTTATTTATGTGGCAAGATAAAATGAAAATGAAGCAAGAACATACAATTATCATTAGTCACACTGAAATAAATGTAGAGAGATGATTAATAAAGTTGTAGTTCACTATAACTTTGTCTTTTTCTCAGATTGAATTTGGACACACCTTAAATCATTAATAAGTATAAAAAGAGTAAAGAACTAATACACAATGACATATTATCAGAAAATGTACCTTGTGATGCCTCAAGCCTGTTATTAGCCAGGATAGGGTCCAGCCCTCCCATTGCCCCCTTGGGAATAAGCAGTATAGAAAATGGATCGATGGAGGGTACTTTGTGATATTAAGGGAGACCCAGTGAGGCTTATGAGCTCTTAGAGTTTAAAATCAACATCTGATATGAATGTTTCCTGGGTAATTATTTTATAATGTATACATTTCATTGAGGAATAGAACCTTTTGTGTCTTGAGTTTTACAAGTCATAAAAGGAAAAGTGTCTAAAGCCAGCATCCGTTTCTCTATTGCTAGTTAATTTAATATAATTAGCTTTTTGTGAGTTTAAACAAAACAGTTTGTAAACTGATCTTAAATTGTCAATCATGGTTTTATGTTCTACTAACCCCTTAAATAACATTGAGCTATGAGTAGAAAATCAAAATTCATCACGAATTTTATTACCTTTTTTAATAAAAAATGAACCTGCAAGACTAACCAACTATTACACCGATACAAACTTATATACACTATGCAAATTTTTACTTCTAAGTTAGCTAAAAATCTTCAAAAGAATATTAAATAATACTGTTTGCATAATAATGTACTAAATGCATTTAAACTTCTTATCAATGATATGCAATGAGTTTGAAAAAGGTTTTAAAAAGAAGAAGATTATAACATTTTGAACTATTATGTACAGGACACTGTGAACTCTGATGACGCTTAAAAAAAGTAGGAAGGTTCCTTCATCCTTCCCCTAAGTAAATTTATATGTGTCCTATCACCCCTTTATGTTGTTTCATGAAAAAAAAGGTCAAATTTAAAGTTGCTCATCATATAACAACACAACTTTCAAAATGTGTCAACCTTTCCTTCCTCTCACGGACTTTGGTAACTTACGGAAAATCGTTTCTACTCTGGCACCATATTGACCACCCTGGGTCCTGAGCAGGGATGTGATAGGTCAGGAATTCGTTGCAGTGCAGTCTCCTTCAGCTCGCCCTCCAACCGGTGACGCCTGCCTCGGCCGTGTGGCTTGAGAAACATCCCCAATAAAGTCTCTTGATTTACCTGTAGCTCAATCTTCAACTGGTAAGAGTGTGATTTAGTAATTATGACACTGTTAATGTTCTTCATGACACTAAATAAGAGTTTATTACTACTTTAAACACACCGGCTCTCTACAGGCTAGGTAGCTGTGCTAAACGTATTAGCACGCTAAATCTTACACATGTCGGGCGATAACACACGGAGTTTCATTATCTTATCGTTGGTTCCTGAATCAATCGTACTTTCCCTCAGTGCTTCGTCTTGAAATAATTCACATATTGGGATTCAAGTTTTAGCCACGTCTGATAACCTTCCTGTGGCCTAGTTCGCATCATTGTAGTAAAGCTTACTCGCATTGCTCTTGAGCAAGCAAATGAGCACATCCCCATAATTAGAGCAGTCATTTGTCTTGTCACACTTTGCAGTGTTTACCAGAGTACGCATAGTAATGATTTTGGAAAGGTGTGCAGGTTGACAAAATGGCTATTTTTGTATTCAGTCACCTTGTGAGTTGACAGGTCACTCAGAATTGACGCCAGTGATGTTGAAATTAAAAGTGAAACTGATGCTTTTTTAAGCGTAGTAATGGGTTTTTAAAATCATGATATGGTCGTATTCAATTAATAAGATCTACGATAGAACAAGAGGACTTGACAGTACGATATTTTAGGCTGTATTTAATTTATTTATTTTGTCTGATTCGAGCATTGACCGAAACGGTCTTTGTGTGTATGAAAACGTGCTTTTAATTTGGTTTCCAACTGATTTGTGATTAGTCCAACAATGGCAATATTTACTGAAGATTTAATGCAGTGTAAAACGTTTTGATACAGTTAAGTAAATTACTTTTTGATTTGAGGTTGTTGATCTTGTCCTGTTAATCTAAAATATAATTCTTACAATGTATCATTCTCTATACCTTTCAATACATAGCTATCAAAAATATTTTAAAAAACTGCATGTCATATCCACAAAATTAATAACAATGAACTTTTAAATTAAGCCATAATTTGACCACATTTTAAATGTATGTAGTTTGATGGAAGGGCATTTGACTGTATTCTTAATGTTTCCAGTTGCCATGGCTGTGCCTCCTGCATATGCTGATCTGGGGAAGTCTGCTAAGGACATCTTCAACAAAGGCTTTGGTACGATTTCATAGAGTGGGATTTAATTTGTGTAAAGATGCTGAAATTCTTTGACTGCCAAGCCCAGTTGGTAAAATGTAAACCAGAATTTAACAAAGTAAATCTTGCCCTCAGGATTTGGCCTGGTGAAGCTTGATGTCAAGACAAAGTCAGCCAGTGGAGTGGTAAGATTTCTTGTTTTTTTTCTTGGTGCAAATAAGTTATCTGAATTGAGTTAAATTCCTTTATTTTAATGTAACCAACTATCTACGCGGCATGAGTATTAACTATTTACACCTACCTATTCAGCACAAAGACCTTTTTTTAAAGTTATTTCCTGAGATCAACATGGTCTTTTATATTTTGCATAGCAAATTCTCATTTAGGAAGCTGGACTCGGCAACTATGGGGCAGTTTTTGTTATTCTAATTTAACAACAAAGCAGCTCATTCCTTATCAGAGTGTGTTATTTGCATTTGCAGCTAGGTGTTTCTTCAGTTTGGAATAAAGAGTAAAGTATTGTGTAACATTTCATTGTGATTTTCTGATCTTCACCATTTCTGTAAATCTGTCTCTCCTGCAGGAATTCAAAACATCTGGTTCCTCCAACACTGACACCAGCAAAGTTGCTGGCACCCTGGAAACTAAATACAAGAGAGCAGAATATGGCCTGACATTTACTGAGAAGTGGAACACTGACAACACCCTGGGAACAGAAATCACTGTTGAAGATCAGGTTAGGAACACACCAGAAAACAGAGGATTGTGTCTATAATAAACTTAATGGGACCTAATTTATTTATTTTAATTTGATGGTTTGTGTTACTCCTGTATACAGATTGCAAAGGGACTGAAGCTGACTTTTGACACGACCTTCTCACCAAACACTGGGTAAGATGATGGCTGAAATGAGTTTATTTGTGTTTTATTTGAGGACTTAACACATGAAGTCAGAGCTGCCTGTTGCGTAACTCCATGAGTAATTATGGCAACTTGATCTTTGCTGAACATACTTCTGACAAGTGTCCTTGCCAACCTTGCGACTAGAGTCGCATTAGTAACGAGGCTGGTGGAACTCGTCAGTTTGATTAGATGTCATTTTTTCTTACACCTGACGCTTCATTATGGTGGAAAAAATTGGGTAAAGCTCAGTTTAGCAATGTTTGTTTGGTTTCTGAAGCATTTTGTTTTCTGAAGTGAAAATCACGTGGAGTACTTGGAGAGGTGTTGTCTTTCATGTTATGAGGAGGGGCTTTAGTCATGCAGACGCTAAGACGGCATGTTCAAGGCTACAGTTTCATGCTTAAAATGGAAAATAAATATCAGGCTCAGTGAAATGTTTTTTTTTTCTTCTTACAAGCATAGGAAAAAAGGAAACGGGAATGAAGGATTAAATTAGACATTTGACTTGATCATGTTTGGGTTTCTCTTTTCCATGACTACATGAATGAACTGATAATACTTTTTGTAGGACATATAACCTGCTTCAAATCAGACTTGACTGCTGGTTCAGTAGTTTTACAAAACCTTCTTTTAAAACCGCAGAAAGAAAAGTGGCAAAGTTAAGACTGCATACAAGCGGGAGTACGTCAATTTGGGCTGTGATGTTGATTTCGACTTTGCCGGCCCCACCATCCACGGTGCTGCTGTGGTCGGCTATGAGGGATGGCTCGCCGGTTACCAGATGAGCTTTGATACTGCCAAATCCAAAATGACCCAGAACAACTTTGCCATTGGTTACAAGACAGGAGACTTCCAGCTTCATACTAATGTGTAAGTAACTTGTCTTTACAATTTTCTGATGGGACTTTTTAGTCACTAAAGAAAACAGCAACCGACTTAGACAAAAGATTGATAAAGGTTAATACATATGAAAGGTATGTTCAGTACTCTCCAGATGAGTCGATTATAAACCCAAGACATCTATCTTAATTGTCTTTTGTCTTTTAATTTTCTTTGTCCAAAGTGACTAAAAAAACATTCAGCATTCCTAAATTAGAGAGTACAGAAAGTTTCTACGAGCGGATGGAAAGATCAGGAACTCCCTCTTATCGAACTCCTGCTTTCAGTAGCTTAAATTGTTTTGTTCTTTACAGTAACGATGGAGCTGAGTTTGGTGGCTCTATCTACCAGAAGGTGAGTGACAAGCTGGAGACGGCTGTGAACCTGGCATGGACCGCTGGCAGCAACAGCACACGCTTTGGAATTGGAGCCAAGTACCAACTGGATAAAGATGCCTCCATCAGTGTAAGTTGTGAAGCTGAGAATATTTGGGGATGAAAGTCAACACATACCTTTTTAAGACACAAAGTAATTGACTCAAACCCTTGCTTTTTCTTCTATTTTAACAATGTAGGCTAAAGTGAACAACAATAGCCTTGTTGGTGTGGGCTACACCCAAACACTTAGACCAGGTGAGTTGCTTCCAGTGAAGTCCAACATTCCAGTCCAGCTCATTCCCAAAATGTCAGCTTATGTTTGCATATGTTAATGCCAAAGTCTGTGCTGTTTTTACAGGTGTGAAACTCACCCTCTCTGGTCTGGTTGATGGGAAGAACATCAACGCAGGAGGCCACAAGCTGGGTCTGGGTTTGGAACTGGAAGCCTAAGCTGTCCTCGTACTGCAAGGGAGTAGGGAATATCAGAAGAATTTGGCCTTAAATGTATGTCCAACTCAAACCAGCTGGGGGATATCATGGAGCGATTGATTCAAAGGCTACAGCAACATACTTGAGTACCACTTTAAGATGGTGCTCCTGTCACTGGTACATTTTTACCTTTTGTTGCTTTTTACTTTGTGGTAGCATCTATTTTGGGAGACGGTTGTTGGCATATTATTTATAAATCATGTCATTGTTCCTGTCCGGCACTGCCATAACTATTTGATCAATACAATCCCTCTGTTCGTCAACAACTGTGTGGTTTCCTTATGATAATCACAGACACTCCGTTTTTCTTTGTCGGTTGGTGTGGTGAACGTCATCATCCTTGATTTTTTTTTCTTCTTCTTTTTGTTTTTTTTACACTCATGATCATCTGATATCCCTTGTCATCTCAACAGTTTTGCCCCTCTGAAGTACACTATTTCTGCTACTATTTAATTACTGCTGCATCTTTCCCACTCATGCACAAAAGGACACAAAGAAGTTCTGGTTTGTGTCGACCGTTTGGGGTTTGCGATGCCCCTGTGCAGCTACACGCGGGACCTTCCCTTAAACTGGGCAGTTTTTGGGTTGCTTTAAGTTGGATTTTGATGGTTGAGAGAAACCTGCACACATGGTCGACCAAACGGAATCGGTTTCTGTTTTTTTCTATAGTAACAGACAACTGGGGGGAGCTCATCGATGTTCACAGTAATGCCAAACTAGCTTTCTCTCGAGGAAGTCTAACCTGAAGTTGCTTATGTGCACTCTGGAAGCTACTTCCCTGTTCTGGGCAGAGACAAAGCCCACAGGAAGTCTTGGAGGTCCTTATGTGTATGTATACATTTTCAATAAAGTCTTTGAACGCCTCAGATTTCTTTTAGTGTGATATTGATGTCGGTAACAATTTTGATGGCACCACTTCTTGTCATGTTTCAGCCCTGCAGATTAATGTAAGCCAATTATTCCTGTGACTGTCACATTTAATGTTATAACTGAGTCAAAGTTGCTTTGACAGCAGAAACCATTAAAAGATTAAATAAAATCCTACATTCAGGCTTCAACCGTCATAGCTGTTTATGTTTGGAGCCACAACTTCCAATAGTTTTATCTCTGTGTGACAGTGGCGATTATGACTTTAAGAAATTTGTCAAATTTAAAAAAAGTGTTTCCAAGTCGTTTGAATTTGAGGTAAAGACACCGGTTTAAAATGAAAACTGGTGCAAAAATCAGTTGTTGATTTTCCTGCATCTTTTTGACAGGGTGGCTGCTCAAACACCTCCTGAAAACCAGTCTTAATAGATCAGATTTAATTTTTTATTCTTTGAAGGAGCAGCGTTGCAGCATTTTGTTTCCAATTGAAGCTTTGATATCAACTGCATTTTTATTTCCTGTAATTAAACCACTTGGTGAGAAAGCTTCACTGCTTTACCGCAAGATGCATCATCATCCTGAAAAAATAGGATGGAAGAGAAAGCCTCCTTCATTTGCCTTTACATTAACCGTGGAGGCGACTTCTTCAGCCACTCATCTCCGTAAGTTTAATCGGATACAATCTTTTCCAGATGGTTTTCAAAAATGTCCCTTCTTTTGAGTTTCTGTGATGACAGTTTTTTTCTTCTTTTTTTGTTGTATTGCGGTGACATCCTTTGTTTTTGTTTTTATCTTAAAGAATTCATAAACTTCAGTGATTTGAAACCCAGCTGAGAGTCTTCAAAAGCTAATTTTAAAAGAGGCTCTTTGCAAATCAAAAGTCAACTGATGGTATAGGGATGCGGATGACTACAGATTTTTAGTCATTTGAAGGACAAAACCTTGTTTGGTCTCAATGGCTTAACATCAAGATATCAATCTGAAAGGGCTGTCGTCGAACACGCAGGTCAGCTGTTGTTCCCTTCAGAAGAATAAATTACCCGGATTAATGGGATCTTTTGACAATGCATTTATTTGCCGGCACATATCAAAGCAAAAACATTCATTTGAAACTTTTTGCATTCATAGCTATTTGTGTTTTTGACGAACACAAATCTTCGTTGCATCACAGGCTGATTTAAACTTTGATGGCAAAAAATGCTGCAGCCTTCAGAAGAATCAGGTTCTCTCCTTTTTTGAAATGGTAATGCTTGAGAGAAAGTGCAGCATGTGGCTGTTTTCTTATTTGTGCTTGACTCAGCTTGTGCCATAAGTTAGCATCTGCATTATAAGCCCTTTTCTATTTTCTGATCCTTCCCTCATTAGATTTAAGGAGGGAATCATCAACTTCTGCTGATATACCTGCTTGTCCTGGTTTGACTTCTGTTTCCTCAAGAGGATCATTTCTTCTTTGGGTCCTCAGATACATTTGGTTTTTGTATATGGCTGCTCTCTGATGCTGCTTGATCTAACTCTTTGATTTCTATCTTCTCCTTTGGCATTGCAGTTGGGACTGTTGGGGTTTTTTCCCCACTGCCTGGTTGCTGATCTTCCGCCTCAGAAACGCTTTTCTCTACAGACTGAGAAGAAAGCATCTCCTCTTGGTCTTTATCGCTCTCTTGTATGGCGCCTTGAATGACTTCTGACATTTTGCTTTCCTTTGTTTCACCGTTAACTTGACTAATTTCTTCAGTATTTTGTGGGCTTTCTTCACGTTGTTCAGGCTTTGCCATCAGAATGGAAGTTTGGTTCACTTTTTCTAATACAACATCTGTTTCTGTGGACGGAGTGCTGGTTGTTTCTGCCATGAAACCTGTGCTTTTCTGGGCTGGTTCTGGAAGCAGCTGGTCGTCCTTGTGCTGCGTTTGAACAAGCTCAGTTTCCTTTTGATTT